AGAGTTCCTTTGTCATCTTTCCTCATCTTCAGGTTTTTAAGATACTTGCCAAAACTGGGCAGGAAAAATTTCTATCGAACTTACTCCAAGCAAAAATAACTTAGTCATTGCACCAACACAAGACCCATTCACTCTTACAGAAGTAGTGGGAACAAATAAAATGTCATTCGCCGACTTTTGCAAAAACAAAGTTGACTTAGACTTTGGTTTCTCAAACCTCAACACTGAAGTAAACTATTATTTCAATGCTGCTGGAGATGCTTGGGACCCAGTTAAGTTCACATGCGAAAAGTTTGAATGCAAGAGAATAGAAAGCAGACTTGCAGTCTATATGTTGGACCCAGATATTTCAAATGCTTTAGCTGCCAAATATATTGCAGTTCCACTTATGTTCCCTATACACCAAATATCTGTCAAAGACTTTGCAGGTGAAGTTGGAAACCAAAGTGCTGACCCAGGTGCAAGAACAGATATTGCTTTAACAACTGCAATGAAACATGCAGATACTATGTTTGTACTGTTCAGACGAACTATAAATGACTATTCTTGTTTCTACAACCCCGGTATTAAATATCATATAAACATAGATGGCAAATATTATCCAAGAGAAGAATATTCTACAGTTGAGGATATGAGGTCATACAACTTGACATTAGATGCTATGAACTTTAACAACAACTTCACAACAACCATTAACCCTGAAATGCAAAGTTCTATTATGCCATATGTGAAAGTATGGACTCATACAGGAGTCAAAAAACTCAATATACAAATGGAGACCGTTCAAACTTTTGGCTTGGCATTCCATTTGCTGACTCAGAAGACTTTATGGGTGGTATTTCAACTGTTGGTACAGTTCAAATACAATATACTGGTGACAGAGACGGTCCAGATGAATTGAAAGCAAAAGAAGTTTACAAAACCAATAGCACTTTTCACGGAAGATGCTCTTTTGAAGATTCGTTCGATGAAACCTGCTGGGGCTCCTCAGATTGGCATAACGACAGCTTCCATCGAGCAGATTTTGGCAGCAGGTCAGTAAGTTGTTCTTGAACTGACTTCTCTCCGTCAAATATTGACAGTACGCCAGTTTTGACATAATATTGTAAGATAAACTTACCTTTAGAAATATCGGTCAGTTTTGTTGTTATATTTTTGTCTGCTTCAAGAACTTTCACCATCTCGGTTATACCAACTTTCTTTGCTTTATGAAAATATTTTGGTTCAGCAAAGACTGCTATTCTATAACATTTTCCATTGTTTTGTAAAGAACTATTCTGTCAATGTATTTGTATTGTTTGTGTGTGTAAACTTTGTTCTGCTTCAATTCGAAGAGATATCCGAATACGTCCATCTTTTTATTCTAAGTAAAATGTCATTTCCGAAAAATAGAAGCGTAAGTGTTTCAAAAGGTTTAATGGCGGTGGCAGATGTGAAGTTAAATTCACCAACTCAAACAAACAGTCAAAGTGTTGTTGTCAATGTCAAAGAAGAGATGTTGAAGTGGGGAAACCATACGAAGACGAAGATGGTATAACAATTGTTCCTGTAAAAGAACAACCAACATATCCTGAAGTTAGCAGAGACTTAAGTTCTGTTGCAGATATTCGAAACGACTACCAACAACTTAAAGACAAACTTAAAACTCAGGAGAAGATTTGTCAAGCTTTGGGTATAATGTTAAACTTGGTCGAACACAACCCTGTAAAAGTGAACTCATATGTCATTGCACCTCATGAAGTTTTGAAAGAACTATTGAAACTTTTGACAGAGGCAGACGATATAAACATCAAAGAAATAGAACCCGACATTGCTTGCTGTGGTGTTTCATACAATGTCATTGACAAGATATACGTTATGAAAGGAGGTGAAACGTTGAACTTAAAATATAGTTTCCCAGACGTCATAAAAATATTTGACGACCACAACATTTCATTAAAATTTACTTGCTAAGTAAATGGCAGAAGACATAGTGGTTTATACTATTACGACTAAAAACCCTGAGTCATATAATTCTATAACAACAAACTTACAAAGTCCTCAAGGACGATATTGTAAACTGACCTTAAACACGATGACGACTAAAGCCTGTTTTGCTCTTTTGACACCAGAAGACTTTGTTGTTGTGAATGGTAAAAAATACTTCTTTGAAGATACTTACTCAGATATACCACCAACAGGTTTTGTTGACTTATTTAATACTTTAAGGACGGATGTAACATGTGCTGCAACTAGAGCAGGTTTCATTATGTTTGGATGTCCGACTGAGTTTAGTATAAACGATATGAGCTATAATACAAAACTTATATCTGGTTTTTACTACCAACAGTTTCCTATAACAGGAAAAGGTGTCATACAAGGTTTGTCTGTTCCATTGACTTTAAGTACACCTATTTTATATATTGTTTCAAACTTAGGTTCAAAGTGCTATTCGAATGTCGACAGAAACTACTATGACCAAAAGATACTCATGCGTATAAACAACACTTTCTCTGCTGGTTTGCCTATTGTTCATTCGAATGCAGAGTTTTCAGCTTTAGTAAACTCAAACACTTTAGCAAACATAAACTTAACCTTAGTTGACGCAAACTTTGTTCCTGTAAAACTTTTATGTCCTATGTATTTGTCAATGACGGCAGAAAGTTTCGAATTGGAAGATGCAACTGGTGAAAGTATTGTACTACAAGAACAACTTCAACAACAAATAGTCAAGAACAACAAATGCAACAAATGCAACAAACAAAGTCAAGAATAAAAAAAATATTTTTTTTATTTTTATAAAAATGTACAGAATAGACGTTTCAGATTTTTATGACTTCCAAGCGTTCAGAAATATGTGTCCATTTAGAGACTATAACAAAGCAGTCGAGAATTTGAAACGTTTAGTCATTTATGTCGACTCTGCCCCAGAATGTTATGTCATGAAAGAATGGGATGTTGTCTTTAACAAACCAAGAGCAACCATAGTTTCAGAACAAGAATGTAGACAGAAACTTAAGAAAATAAAAGTCGTACAAGTTGGTATGAAGATGTTAGATGCTTGGGATATCTTATTGTCAAAGTTAGAAGATTTTTCAGTTCGTGGTATAAAGTTCTATACACCATCTCCAAACTTCTATTCTATCTTCACTGGATATAAATACGAACAAGTAGAATGGAAAGAAAATGTTATAGAAGCTTGGTTAGACCATGTCAAAGAAATTATATGCAATGGAAACGAAAGAGTCTATGAGTATATCTTATGTTGGTTTGCAAACATCTTACAACATCCAAGTGCTAAAAATGAAACTGCTCTCATTATAATTGGAAAACAAGGAACTGGTAAGAACACTTTCTTTACAGATATCTTATGCAAACTGTTAGAGGGTTATTCGAATCCGAATATGACAAACTTAGAAAACATCTGCGGTAAATTTAACTCTTCAATAGAGAATATGAAACTTATAGTATGTAACGAACTTCAAAGTATAGATACAACAAAGGTTTTAAAACTCAGATGCTTTGAAGAGTCTTATAACAGACAAAGTTGGAGTTGTTGAAAGAAAATATAAAGACCAAAGAGTTTGTGAAAATGTTGCAAATTTCATCATGGTTTCAAACAACGCCGTTCCGATGAAGTTAGAAAGTTTGAAAGAAAATATGTTAGTTGTTTCATGAAGTTCGTCTGAGAAGATCATTCATATGCAAGATACAGAATATTTTTGACGACTTAGCAGAAACTTTGACACCTAACTTTTACAACCACTTGTTCTCATATTTCATGACATTAGATATTTCTAAGTTCAATCCAAGACAAATTCCATATACCGAAGAGAGACAAACATTGTTAGAAGCAAACAAGAGTGTATATGAACTGTTTATAGATGAAACTGACTTTGAGTGTTTAGATGAAAGGTCATTGTACGATTCGTATAAACAATATTGTCAAGAGTATGGTTATATGGCAGCTTCTAAACGTACATTCTTGGCAAATGTCAAAAGTCTTTTAGACATACAGAACGGCGTATATACAAAGAAAAATTTTTATGAGTAAATTTTAAAAAAAATATTTTTTTATCCGATAGAAAAGATGATGAAATTCATCTCAGTCAACAAGTACATGTCAGGACTTAAAGAAGAACTAGACCCATTCGCTTATTTGAATGTTTACTTCTACCATTTTGAAAAGTCTACATATGACAAAGTTTGGAACATCGAACCCGTTAAGTTTGCTATTGTGACTAAAAATGGTGCGAAATTTGAAGACTTAGACATAGAAGGTTTGTTAGCAGTCAAAGAAAATTTTGACAGAAAGTTCTCAAAACTCGAAGAAGGCAAAGCATACAAACTTGTTATACCTTATGAACCAAAGAAAGCAGACGACTATGAATATTATGAGTCTAAGATAGTTGAAGTTCAGGGTAGATTGGGTAAAAAGATTTTAGAGTCTAAGCCAGTGTTTGCTCCTAAAGAGGAAGAGAACATTGACATTGACCCAGAAATGTTCTAAAAATAAAATTTTATTTTTACATGTCATATCTCACCTTCTCTGGAACTGGTTCAGGTTCTTTCTTCTCTTCTTCTACTTTCTTTTCTTTCTTTTCTCTCTTCTTCTTCTTCTTCTCTGGTGGAGTTATGTCAAACTTCTCAGAACCATATTTTTGTAAAAGGTCTTTGTCCTTTAATAGCTCTTCTATTCTGTTTCCTATTTCATCTTCAAGAACAGCGCATGTGTCTTCTTTGCATTCTAAGAACTTTTGTTGGACTTCATCTTTCCAATCGGCGTCATCTCTGTCAACAAGTCTGTCATTGACAAATTTTAAGACTTCTCTGCCTAATGTTTTATGGTTCTTGTCATATTCCCAGAAACAGAACTTTAGAACAAATTCACCTTTCTTGTTTACACTATGTAAGATTTTATGGTCGACAGATGTTTTGCTGTCAAAAAGCTTGTCTCGAATATAGATAGCGAAATCGCTAGACATTTTCAAAAAGATAAAAATTTTAATTTTTCTAAAAATATGTTAGAAAAAAAGTTTGCTGACATTGACAAGAAATTTGAGAATGTTTTAAACAAGAACAAGAGGAAGTTAGAAAATGCTCAGATAAAACCCATACATGACAAGTTCTTATTTGCTCAGAATGGTATAACAGGTCTAATCGCACCACCTGGGTCGGGTAAGACTTTCACTTATCTTAAAATGGCTGCACAACAACAAGAACTAGATGAGAAGAACCCATTCTATGAGTTAGTAGTCATTTGTAGTACTTCTGGTCAATTTGACCAAACCGTAAATTCGTTCAAAGATATTATAAAAAAGTCTAAGTTAGTATGTATAAAAGACTCTGAGTTGTTGGATTGGATAAAGAAGTACCAAAGAAGAGTTTTGAAGTACAATGCTATAAATGAGTATATAAATTCTAAGTTTAAAGACCCAAATGAGGAAATGCAGAGAATATTAGAGAAGAAACACTTCAGAAACAAACAGAAAGAGATAGAATACATTTCGAAGAAATTGCAATCTTACGATTGGAAGACATACCCTCATAGATGTCTTCTTATCTTAGATGATTTCGCCTCTCATCCTTTGCTTAAGAATAGAGAACAAGATATGTGTCGAATTCTCAAGAAGCTCAGACACTTTAACATCTCAGTTGTCATTTGTGTACAGACAGCAAAGAGTTTAAGTAAGGATGTAAAGAGAATACTTACTGATATCATACTTTTCCCTGGATTGTCCGAAGACGATTTCATGGAACTTATGAAAGAGTCCATGGCAGGTAAGTTTGACAGACATGAACTATGGGAGAAGTACAAAGTCATACAAGACCCTCATACTTCTTTCAGAATTCACATCTACGCGAACAAAGTTCAAATTGTAAAAAGTCAAGCTTGAAAAATAAAGAGTTTGAGTCTTAGTCTGTTGTGGTTCTGCAGCTTTCGGTTCTTCTGGCTTTGGAATGGACTCGGTTGGTGGTACGTCGGACATTCGTTTGTGTCCTGTCGGATGGAAGGACTCGGAATGTCGGAAGGAAGGACTCGGAATGTCGGAAGGAAGGACTCGGAATGTCGGAAGGAAGGACTCGGAATGTCGGAAGGAAAAACTCGGAATGTCGGAAGGAAGAACTTTTTCTGTCGGAAGGAAAAACTTTTTCTGAAGTTCGACCAAAAAGTTCTCAATTTTCGAAAATTTGAATGGTTTACGGACGAACAACAGGAAATTTTTTTCCAGTTGTCAGGAAATTTTTTTCCAGTTGTCGGGAAATTTTTTTCTTGTCGGAAGGAAGGACTCGGAATGCCAGAAGGAAAAACTTTTTCTGTCGGAAGGAAGGACTCGGAATGCCAGAAGGAAGGACTTGGAATGTCGGAAGGAAGGACTCGGAATGCCAGAAGGATTTGACGAGGCAATTTAACTTATAGAGCTACCTGAGCCATCTGAAGTCAAGCTTGAAAAATATATGGTTCATCTACCCTACTTGTTTGAAGTTGTCAAAATACTCTGTTATTTTTTCCTTTAACAATGGCAAATCTTCTTTGAATGTAAGTATTGTACAACCTTTCATATCATAGTGTGTTTGAGGTAACGTATCTTGAACTATTTGTTTCACATCTTCATTCGGTGTCATTGAAATCGGTAAGTTTTCGCGATAGAACCAATTTCTGTCAGATTTGTAAATCTTAGCAAGGTCGTAAAAGCTTTTGTTGTTTCTTCTGACTAAATGCAACATAACCATATCTCTGTCTTCTTCATTTTCCATCTCTTCAGTGTAAATCATATACTTATAGTTCTTTTCCTTTCCTTTTGGTACCGAACGTGGTATTCTTTTCTGAATGTTTTTGTCTTTTGCTTCAAGCTTGTTCTCTAGCTCTTCACGTTCTTGTCTATGAATTTCGTCAAGAAGTTTACAAACATACCAAGCATAACGAGGTGAAGCCCACATTGCAACAGCATTTACAAGAAGTCTATGTACATAATATCCTCTCAAACCGTTTGGCAATTTTTCACGATTTTCATGAGTTTTAGGCGAGTAAGATTTTTTACTTACTCGCTGTTCTTCACTGTTTTCAGAAAAAGTATGTCTCGCTGTGCTCGCTCAAAAATTCTTGTGTGCTTTGGTTCCTAAACCAGTCTTGTGGTTTCTTAGTATCTGGAGCAAAACATGCTGTCAAAATACTTTGCATTTGGTACATATCGTCTTTGACCGAACGAATGAGACGGAGTTGTTTGTTAAACTGTATGTACTCATATTCTTCATTTATAGCTTCATGAACGATAGCAGTTGTTGTGTTCTCTGTTGTTGACATATCTGTCTTTACATACAAAATAAAAAAATAAAAAAAATAAAATTAACTTTATTTTCTATCTTGTATAAAAGACCAAAAATAAACGCTTTACATGTATTTTTCAGCAACTTCGTCAAATAATTTTATAGCACTATCTATCTCATCTACTTCAAACGTTTCTTTACCTTTCATGGGAGCACCATACATTTTCTCAAACTTTTCAAGTAGTTCTGTTTCAGCAGCTCTCATATCGTTAACGAACACAACCTTAACTCTATTGACTGTACTGTCATATCTTTGAGTTATATTATATGTTCTTCCTATCTTATATCTCTTTGTATTGAAGTCCTTCGGTTTCTGAACGATATAAAGTAAGCCTTCACTGCAACGTTCCGTATCGAATGAACCATATGTTATGAAATTATATCCAACAACTGGGTCTAACCAGAACAAAACTACTGGTATAAGACTTTTGTCTATAAGATATGCTGTAGTTCCATGAAATCTTACCGATATCAAAAGCTCAGGATTTCTTGTCAAAATTTTCTGAGATGAAGCATTTCTAACCCAGTCCTTTGCTCTCTTTCCGGATGGTGTTAAAATGTCTGACAAAGAATATTTTTTGTATTTCTTTGAGTATCTTACGTTTAAATCACCTATTCTAACCACCTTGGTCTCATTGTCTATCTTTCTAACTGTTTCAAACTCAGTGTTTGACATTTCCTGTTCTTACATACAAAATAAAAAAAAATATTTTAAAAAAACTAGCTTTTATTTTCTATCTTAAGGAAATTCATGAAATTTGGTCATTTTTTTCAGCAAAAATATATTTTAGGGTAGATGGTTAGATCTAACCTGTCTTCTACCCTCTTGAATTTTGTATAAAAGATATGATTTCATAGAGTTTTTTTACGAAGTGCAAAAGTTCTCTTCGTCAAAAAAATACAGTTATATAATGAAATTTGGTCATTTTTTTCAGCAAAAATATATTTTAGGGTAGAAGGTTAGATCTAACCTGTCTTCTACCCTCTTTTCTACCCCAGTTATTTTATAAGCGTTTTACATGGTAAACATTGTGAATTCGTGAAATTCTAAACAATTTCGTAGCTTCTATTTCTTCTGTCAGTACATCGAATGTTTTAACAATGCCGAAAGTTTCTTTATACTTCTTCTTGACGTCAGATAGAAGGAAATCTTCTGCTGTTGGATAGTTTTTGTTCAGAAATGTCAACATGTCCATTTTATCTTCTGCTGGTTTCTCTACTTCTTTCTTTAAGTCAGCATAGTCGTTTCTCATACGTTCTATCTCTTTGACGGAGTAGTTATATTTCCTCATTGCTGCTTTACATTTAGAACATTGTGGGTTCATTTTTGCGTTATATTCTGAAACCTTACCTGCTAGTATGACTAAGGCGTCAATTGCTCTCTTTAACTCAAAAGTTGCGGGTTTTATCTGTTCATTCCATATCTTACCTCTTCTATCTTTATCTCTTATCTGCCATACACATTTTGCAACTAACGAAACAAAGTTGTCGTAGGTCTTAAACTCCCCAGATTTATATATGTCAGAGATGTTCTTATATACCATATCGCAATCTTTGTCCATGACTTTGTGGTTGCAATGAAATCCAAGAAACTCATAGTTTACCTTTCGTATGAACTTCTTTATTTCTACTGAGTCAGTTGCTTTGACTTCTATTTCATCGAATTCTGGAATAGTAAGCTTTTGTTGTTGGATTTCAGGAAGTTTAGGTAGATGGTCAATAATATCCTGCATTTCATAAAGATACTGTTCATTTGTTTCATCTTTCGCACTACAGTTTAGATCTCCTTGGAGAAGTTCTTGCTTTATCTTCTGGATTTCTGTTTCGAAAGTATATGAAGAAGGAATGAAGCTTTTCATCTCTACTAACATAGATGTTGGATTCATGACTAACGAGTTTGGTGCTGTTGTTGCTAACATGTTCTTACAATAAAAATAAAAAATATTTTTTTAAAAAAACTAACTTTATTTTTTATGTTTTTTGTGAAAGTGTCAAAAATTCATGAGTTTTGTGTGTTTTCTACGATGGTAGAAAAAAGGGTAGAAAAGAGGTTAGATCTAACCATCTACCCTAAAATATATTTTTGGGTCCTTTACACTCATTACGATGAAATCATGACAAAACATATACGATGAAGAAGTCTTGACAAAACATATACGAAGAAATTCATGAAAATTCATGAAAATTCAAGAGGGTAGAAAAGAGGGTAGAAGACAGGTTAGATCTAACCTTCTACCCTAAAATATATTTTTGCTGAATTCAGCAACAAAATGGTTCATTTACTCACAATATTTTTGTACAAAACAACCCCAAGCTTTTAACTTCTTTTCTGCAGCTTCTAATGCTATCTTAGCGAGTTCATATTCTCTAAATTCTCTCTTTAAATCTTCTTGTTCCCATTGGTCTAGTTCGTATGGCGAGTCTCTATAACCAGAACATATCTCACGTTCATGTTCTATTTGTTTTTCGCACATTTTTCTAACTTCTTGTTCGAACAAAGGTTTTGCATTCTCTACTGTATCTTCAAGTTCTTCTTCATCTAATTTCTCATGAACTTTCTTGTCTATGGAGTCCAGAATTTTTCCAACTGCTATACAATATTTTGGAGAAGCCCACATTGCTATATAGTTTACAAGTCTTGGGTCTACATACGTTCCTCTAACCTGTTTGATTTCATCAGGAATTCCTGCATGAATTTTGTATAAAAAGCAACCCGCGGAATTCCGCGGGTTGGTATATTCTTCACAAAATGCCTTAAAATACTCTTCCCAGGACTTATTTTCCAACAACCTTCTAAAGTCCTTCCTAAACTGCTGACACATATTTGTTGCATTTATATAACCATCCATGTCTCTACGTAAGACTTCAATACCGTTGTAAGTGCCTTTTGTGAATGTTTCGCCATTAGATTTGTTCGTGAACGTTTTTGCTTCGACTGTCATTTCAGTTCTTACAATAAAAATAAAAAATATTTTTGGGTGGTACGTCGGACATTCGTTTGTGGCTTAACCGTCGGACCACAACGATAAAAATCTCGACAAAACATATACGATGAAGTCTCAACAAAACATTTACGATGAAGTCTTAACAAAAAATATACGATGAAATCTATTTCCTGTGTTGTTGTCAAAATGTCATGTTGTCACACTTTTTCAGAGAAGTTAAAATGACCGAGTGACCGAGTGACCGAGTGACCTGGTCGCCTAAAATATATTTTTTTCTATCTTAAGGAAATTCATGAAAATTCACCTGTTGAATTTTGTATAAAAAGCAACCCGCTGTTTT